CTGCATGCTCTCAGCACAGAGACTAAGCTGTCAAAGACAGCTTTTGGTCAGTACTAATTGTCGGAACTGGCGGGACCAGCTTCCGATCATGTTTCCACAGTCACAGTGGTCACATGATTAGGGAGACCCTAATAGATTAGTTAAAGGGATTCTAGGGCAGGCAGGAGGAGGCTAACTATGTTACTTAGCTTCGGTGCAGTAACAATGTAGAAATTCTTATATTTATCTTTTGCCAGGGCAAAATATCCCTCGCTTTTTATCTATCTCTCTGCCTCATATTCCTCCACGGTTGGAAATCCATTATGCTTTGCTGCTGTTCTGATGTACTCTGTAAATATCACTTTTCCATGTGCCTGTTAAAGCCAAATCCCAGTTTTAGAGATTTTGTAAATGTATTTTTATGTGTCCTTGGCTAGCAGTTTAAAAAAAAATGAATTAAATTAGACTTCTGCTTTAAAGCCTGACATTGGGCACAATAAATTTAACCTGGGTCATTCAGTTGTACTTTCTTTAAGTGCAACCCACCATCATGCAGGCGTTTTTTCTAAATTACACATATCTTCTATTTAACATAAAGTACAGCTCCCACTGACCTTCTAGCGTGCTTGTCTCATAGGCCCCAGTGTTAGGGTCATATTTCTACCTCCCAAGCCTGCCACAGGCTTCATTTTGATCAGTGGCCCTAAATGGCTGATATTTTAAGCTGGTTGGAAAACCAGAATACTTAACAGTGATGTATCAATGTGCAGTATGTTTGTCATTTGCCATGTTAAAATGTCTTATTTCCTCTTTATCACTCTCTTGGCCTCATGTTCTGCCAAGCTTGGAAATATATGACTTTGCTGTACTCCGTAAATATAATTTATTGTTTGTTTAGTAAATCTGAACCCCAGTCTCATAGACCCCAATACTACAGTTATGTCTCAGGACATTCACAAAGCACACAGCCCCAGGATTTGTTTTATGAATGGTGAGGAAGATGAAGACATGGCCACTGTGTGGGGTCTGTCAGACCTGCAGTGCCCACATGAGTGGGCGGGGCGAGCAGTCCAGTGGAAGCTATATTTCCCCTGGCATGTAAAAGAACAGGTTGCGGGTTTTGGAAGAAAGTCTGCATGGCAGGAAATTGATTCTGAAGCAATGGAATGTATAGATGAATGAACCATGGTAAATTTTATTGTGCCTAAAGTTGGGCTTGAAGGAAAAGCTAAAATAAACTTATATATAAATATATATATAAAATCGAGCGCAGTATGAGGATGTAGATAGGGTAGCTGCTGGCACAAAAGGCACCTCGTGAACCTCCAGAGTAATGGTAAAATTTCATATTTGAAGGAAAAGCATTTTGTCATGTAACTGACCAGAAGCTGAAATGACGAGAGGGCTCCCCTTGCAGCTGAGTGCAGAGCACCCCTGAGAGTGATAACAAAAGGTTCTGTGCCCAAAGTAGCATGGGTTGCCAGTGATGTAGTTGCCTGGTGCTACCAGATGAATGGACACACAAAAGCAGGGAAGCCAGACAAGGCAGACAACTCCCTGGAGGAGCAGACGGATCTTGACAGCTAGAATGAGCAGGAAGTGAAGTCAGAAGCCAAAGCCAGGGTCAAACACCTGACACATTTCATCTGCCTAGTGTGTTTAATCCTCTACAGTTGTAAATCCTCATTTCTTTAATATAGTGCCAATGCACAACGTAAATAAAACTAATTTTTGTAAAAACAAGTTCTTCTTTTATTGGCCTCCCCTATTAGCCCAGGGTTGGTAGTCTGTGATTGTTTGATATGTCATTCCTCCAGGCAGTAAAAAAATCTTACTTTTTATTGTCAGTCCAAAATGTTGATGTGTGTGGAATTTCAATAGCGAATCATTTTTTTCTGTCTTTCCATTCAATGAATATATAAAATTAATCATATAAAAGCCCACTAAGGGAAAGTTCATGGTATTCACTTAATTGCATGACGTGAACTGATTTATGGGGGGAAATGAGTAATACATCAGAAGGTTGGCTTTTAAGAAATGTGTTTATCTCCTAAATACCACTTTGCATTATATAGAAAAAAGAACACATAGAAATTAGCATCTATTGTAACATATAATACACATTCAAAGTACCCGCCTTCACTATTACTCTTTGTGTAGCATAGCCATCTGTGATGCTATGCAAGAATCTGGGATTTAACCGTTCTTCTGGATTCAGTTCAATGAGAATTAGTTATACTTTCCTCAGCAAGACAGCACTTCGTTCATGCTGTTCTCCAGAATCACGTTATTAAGAATGGAAGTTTATTAACCAAGGCTGCCTATTCGTTATTACACTGTGTTCCTTTTCATCAAAATTTTCTTAATTGGGACACCCACTCAACAGAGGTGCATCTTTGGAAACAGATTTTATATAATGGAATCTCAAGCTGTTTCAATAGAGCACTAATTCCTTTAGTGCTATTTAAATAGTGCCTTTTTATCTGCTACAATATATTTTTTTTGTGTTCAAGTAGCTGAAAGGAGCTCTGATACTTTTTAAACCAAATCGCAGCATTTACAAGTCTAATCAATACTTTATCTTTTTCCACCTTTCATTTTCCTTTCAGATGCTTTGTAAAATATTTCCTTTAGTAAACTATATTCCTTAAAGAATTTTATAGGCTGTGTCTGTTAAATTTTTACTTACAGTGCATGGAAAATTACAAAACCACACAAAATATCTCTAAAATAGGCCAGCAGTACAAAAAATGAAAGAAAAAATGATGTAAGGATGCAAAGGTATTTTATACTGACACTTCACGTGTACATTAAAAAGAGACACAGTTATCCTTCCTACCTAGCCCCTTTGAACAAGAACCCTCTGATCCCACCACTCTCACTCTAGATGCATGCTTTAATCTGGCTGTTCCCTGTAGCACCCTGCTAGTTTAGCTAGGGGGAGATAGATCCTGATGGTTAGACAGGAGCTGTTAGCAGCTCAGGTGTAATAGAAAGAGGAGTCAAATTGTGGTCAGGGCTGAGAGACTCCGCAGGCCAGCCCCTCTAGAATTTCCCCCTGCTCTGAGGCTTTTGGAGAAGGGCCTTGGAGGGAGTGGGTGGATCTGTGGAATGGCTAGCTGCACTCTTGGGGGATATAAGCCACTCCCAACAGAAGGCTTGGCAAGGTACTGGGACTCCCTTAAAACTGTAAAAGCCTGCTCAGTAGCAGGAGTGTGGAGTGTAGAGAGCTGGAGGAAGATGTGAGGCTGGAGGAAGAAGGCTGCCAGGAGGCCTAGTGGGATGGGACCAGCAAACTCTAAACTCCTGTGCTGGGGATGGACTCAACAGAGACTATGTGTCAGGGCAGGAGCGGTGGAATGGACGGGCAGGCCTAATGGTAGGGTCACGCACCGACTGACGACAGCCACCACCCACAGACCGGAGTCCCTCAGGGCGCGGAGTCTAAGCACCAGGCTGCCTTTCACCAGGGCCCCTGATGGTGGGGATGGACTTGACACAGTCAGGGACCAGGTCGTGACCCCCGAGTAACCCCAGCTGCGGTAATGGCCGCCATCAGTGGCGTATAGCTGGTGGGAACCAGATGGGAAACGATAGCGTAGTCGGACAGGCCAGGTCGATAACAGCGGGACAGACAGTACAAGACGGTAGGCAAGAATACACAGGTCACGAGCCGGGTTCAGCAACGGGAGGTCAGATAAAGGGATAAGGCAGAGAATAGTCTTAGTCAAAGCCGAGTCGGTTTCCAGGAGAACAACGACGAGTAGAACCAGAGCTTGCTGCAACACAATCATACAGGACACGAATGCAAAGAGCAAGTGCAGACAACAGGCTTAAATGTGATCAACCACACCCCTCTGGGGGAAGGACCGCAGAGGCCTGAAAGCATAAAAGGCTCCCACCATGCTTTGCAGAAACCTAAGATGGATGCCAGCACATGGAGCAGCACCAACTCTGAGGAAAGGTAGGACCTTGACACTATGGTAACAGTTCAGATATCCTGGACTATGCACTCCTTGCTGCCCTCAACGGACCGGGGTAGTCCAAAGTCACTGGATACAAAAGAAAGCAAAAAGAGGGTGAACTGGAAGAGTGCATTATCGTAAAGAATATTTATTTAAAAGGATAAAAAGTAGGTATCATACTCACAATGGACATATAAAATAAAGGCACATCACAATAAACAGCGGTGTCCAATCCATATAGCATATAAATCAAATCCTCAGAGCCACTCTGAGGAAGAGGCTAAGTCCTCGAAATGCATTAGCCAGTTGGAAGTCCAGGGTTCCATTGTTTTGGATTTATATGCTATATGGATTGGACACTGCTGTTTATTGTGATGTGCCTTTGTTTTATATGTACAGTGAGTATGTGAGTATGATACCTACTTTTTATCCTTTTAAATAAATATTCTTTACGATAATGCACTAGGCCGGTGCGCCCTCTTTTTGCTTTCTTTTGTATCTCCTGAGCGAGGACCACCTGAATGGCAGGGATGGAGCAGACCAGCTGATAGGACTGGTAGCAGCAGCCAACCCACCAGCAGTACAGGAGAGGATCTGAGTGAGTACACCTGTGCCCCCTGAGCAGATAGGGGATGGAGTAGTGAGAAACCAGATTAGCCCCCAAATAGTGGATCACCGGCAGATGCCGTGATGTGGGTGGGAATTGTCCTTCTCCTGGGTCTTCCATCTGATTTGTTTGCCAGCTTAGCCCAGTCCAGCCCAGTTACATGCCAACCATGCCCCTCTCTTATCTGGCCACACCCCTGGGATCACTGGGTGGCCTACAGCAGACGGTCCCTCCGTCTGCAAGCTCCACCTCCAGGCTAGTGATTGTCCACCTGGCAAACACACAGGCAGAGAGGAGGAGCCAAGCGGTAGCACGAGGAAGACAGCTGATCGGTGTGCTGGGAGGGAGCAGCCGGAGCCGGTGGAGAGGAGAGCAGTGGGATTTGGACAAGGAAGAGAGCTGATCAGTGCATTGCCAGGGAGCAGCCAGAGCAGGTGGAGAGGAGGAGAGTGGCTGGATAAGGAAGACAGCTCATCAGTGAGTGTCACAGGCATTCTGGCTGTGGATGGGAGAGCAAGGGAGCCCGGCCTGGAGGAGGGGTCATCAATGTAACCATGGCCTTATTGTATGTTGGTGGTCGGGTCAGTGCAAACATATGCCCATTTACATTGGTGGCCACTCACTACAAATATAGTTCAGACTCAGTTGTGCATTTTTGTTCAGTGAAAAATGTGTGCTACTCACAAACTTCCTCTCTGCTGGAGCTGGGAGGATTGGAATAGTGCCCATCATTGTTGTCAGTGTGGGGGGAATAGTGCCCCATCATTGGTGTCAGTGGGAGGAATAGTGTCCCATCATTGGTGTCAGTGTGGAAGGAATAGTGCCCCATCATTGGTGTCAGTGGGAGGAATAGTGCCCCATCATTGGTGTCAGTGGGAGGAATAGTGCCCCATCTTTGTTGTCAGTGTCCCAACAAAATATATGCACTCGTTATCCACTTTTAATGTACATAGAAAAAGAGGCAGAGCTCTAATAGGAAGAGGTGGAACCTAAATAGGAAGGGGTTGGGTTTACAAATGAAGGGGTGGATCTTAAACAGGAAGGGCTGGGACAAATTTAGATGGAGGTGCCCGATTTTAGTCATACCTAGGGCAGCACAAAACCAAAATACATCACTACTCTGTAGCAGAATCAAAGCCCATGATCTGATTAACTCAGCTCTGGAGCTAAATACTGAAACCAAGATCTTACTGATAACTGATGGTTCCAGCACTCTCTCCAGCTAGGCAGCTCATGCCAAGTGCTATTTTAAATTAGAACATTTTCTGTAGGGCCATTTTAAATTAAGAGATTGGGTCTCTTTCCTGTTTTTACACATGCAATTTAAAATAAATTAAGTAATATTTAGACTGCATGAATCTGAATAATCAGTCCTAAATTATCAGAATTGAAAAGGTTTAATTAGGAAACTCCTATATTTCCAACCTTGTTTTGTTTTATTTACTTTATCTGAGACCAAAACATTTGTATTATTGAGGGGTCAGTATTCACCCACATTCTAATAACTGCTGCCCTGTCAACTGATCTTACATGGTGGGGTTGATTTATCAAAAGAATACAGTAAGTTCAATTTGGGAAGTGATTTTCCACATGTGAAATGCAAGAATACCTAATGCAAGGATATATGTTGAAAAAGAAGACGCTTGCTTGCACAAGCAAATTATTGACGTCAGCAGGGCTTCACTTTAATTTCAGCATTGAATTTCAATTATTTCTAGCCTACTCGTAACAATTTAAATGATCTTGTAGCTTGAAAACTTACTTTGTGAAGATCCCTATGTATTTACTTGACTTATGTGACAAGTATTCACTATGCCCTGTGAGTAGGCACTGCTCTGTCACACATTTCACAGAGCCTGCCTTCAGAACTACAGAAGAGCTGAGAGGAGGAGTTTCTGGAGGTGGAGTCAGGTGGAATCATTGCTTGCAGGCCCCAAGGTACCATGATATGCATAGTCCTTTAGAAATTGAAAGTAAACAGCAAAAAGAAGCTGCAAAGCATGCAGGGAACCCAGGAAGTTGTGGAAAGAGATGACCAGCAGACAGGCACCCAACATGAAACAAAATTTTTCAAGTATGCTTATATTGGATTGTCAATAATGGCCATTGTTTGTAATGCTATTGCAATGCTGCTGTTACAAAATGAAAGTATACGCTGTGACTAGACATCCTTAAAGCAGGGGTCAAATGCAGATCTCCCTTTAGTTGCTTAACAGCAATGTTCTATGTTTAACACAATACCAAAAAAAAAAACTAAGAGAAAGCATATACAAATTTTTAAATTACGCTGAAAGTTCTTTAGCCACTTCAGTATCAGGCACTTTTACCCCAATCCTGCCCAGGCCAATTCTAAGCTTTCAGTGCCGTTGCACTTTGAATGAGGATTGTATTGTCATACAACACTATACCCATATTACATTTTTAGCATTTTTTTCACACAAATAGAGCTTTCTTTTAGTGGTATTTTTTTTCACCACTGGGTGTTTTATTGTTTGCTACATGAATGAAAAAAGCCCGAAAATGTTGAAAAAAAAAGTGTTTTTCTTTGTTTCTGTTATAAAATGTTGCAAATAAATAATATTTCTGTATAACTTTAGGACAAACAGTATTCTGCTACATTTTGTTGGTGAAAATAACCCAAATCAGTGTTTGTTATTTAGTCTGCAGGGTATGGGTATAGTGTGTGTATTTCCTCCCAAATTCAGGCTAGAGGCTAGTAGCTTTGCCTGGTTATTCGAATTGTGGCCTTTTATAGGGTCAAAAATGGGTGTGGTGTATGCATTTCCTCCCAAACGTGGAACAGGTCCAGTAGAGAGGAAGATGGCGCCCATCGTGTGGTTCCGAGCCTTCTTCCCAGCTGCGTATGTGCAACTGGGAGGAAATACACACACTATACCCATTTTTGACCGTATAAAAGGCCACCATTTGAATAACCAGGCCAAGCTATTAGAATCTAGTCTGCTTTTTGGAGGAATGCTGTTCCATTTCCCTTAAATTTTTGGTGAGTTACAAAAGATACAGGCAATGAATGTTGATATTCATGCTTATTTTCTAGACTTTAGGAGCTAATTGTATAATCCCCGTGTTCTTATATTCCATTGCCCTTAGTCTTAATCGATTTGATATTTTTTATGCAATACTAACGGATGGGAGACAACACAATTAATTGGTATATTTGTCCACTTGAATTACTCTAAAAGGGTATATATATTTATGTGATCATTTCATGATCTACAGTATATACATTTAGATCATGTCCCTACTAGTGTGATGGATTTGGTAAAATGCCTATTTCGTTTCCTATTGAATATATATATATATACGCTATTTCTATAAGTTTTATAAATATTTACTTTTATACTTTAATACTATTTCTTTCCACATATTTATAAATGGTTAGCATGAATATATATGTTGTGTGAATATTTTCTGCCTGCTGGGCTTTGTGGTACTTTAAGAAATCCTTGCTTAAGAAATATTTGCTCACAGGAATAGACCCCCTCCCATCGTGTGATTTGGAAGACAAAAGAATGTTTTTCTCTTTTTAGGATAAGACTGAAGAAGATCACACCTATACCATGACGGAGATTGTTTTCGTGTAAAGTGACCAATCAAAGACTAATATAATGCTTATGCTGTTATCACGTGATGTTCGCATCATTTTTCATATATAAACTCACGGTTTCATTTCAATAAATTAGAGAGAAGTTTTCACAGACCAAACGTGTCAGTGTGAGTTTCTTCATGTGCGCACATTCCAAAAGCTGGCCAGCATCATAAATTAGGACAGGAACAGATAAGCACTGGACAATTAGGTCCACTACTAAATCACTAGTATCTAATAAGGGGATGTGTGGTCATGAAATCCATCTCTACCAATTTATACATACTATTGGTCTATATTGATGCTGTTCTTTTGTACTTATAGTTTGTTATGACTTATCATTACATACTTTATTATACATATGTCTTATTATGGCAGTGGTTGTGATGTGACACACGTGGTTCTTGTACGTCAAATTGACTATTAATAATTATTATTATTATAGAGTGGTATCATATCCCTGAAGAAGAATCTTTGTTAATGCATTCAAAACGTGTTGGATCCCAGGCTGAATGTATCTGCAGTCAAAGTTTCAGGTTGCAAGATGGAAATCAGCTGTAGGGGATACCATGGGATATATATTGTAACAAACCATAATTTTGTAAAGTGTATGAGTAGTCAGAATTCCTGTGCAATATATTTGGCAATATGTAATGACCATTTTGTATGTGCTGATAAGCAAAACACAAACGTTTTAGTGACTTGTACAAATAAAATGTTGATTTTATGTTTTTAAAAATTTAACCTCTTGGCGCCAGCCGAACTCAAATGTGCGGCCTCCCGGCATCTGGGTCTAGATGCCGAGCGGCTGCACATTTGCGTTCTATTAAAAAAACATATGTGCTGAGAGAGCACGCCCTGCGCACTGCCAGCACACATGTCCGGTACTCACGGAAAGGTCCCGATCGAAAGATCGGGACCTGTTCACACAACAACGCACACATATTGTTTTATAGGTTTCTAATTACAGAAAGAGCTTAGTCTTGTGATGGTGAATAGTAACATCTGAATGTGTCTTAGCAACGTCCTGGAAGTTTTTCAGCCAGGCTTCATGAGCTATGTAAATGGCCTACACCTAAAGGAAGCTGCACAGTTTGTTTTTTTTTCTATAGACATTCCTTATCTACAGAGACAGTTTTTGGTAAAGGTGAACTATGCCTTAAAGATGAAATATTCAGATTCATATACAAGCTCTGTCATGTTTTGATTTCTGTAGGTATGCACTTTCATTTATTTTTTTAAAATCAATTTACGTAAGTAGAAAGATTTCTATTTTATGCTAAAAAATTTAGCTATTGAGAAAAAAAGTGTAATGACACAGTTGGCCATTTCTTAATAGTCTGGCGTTCAGTTACTTTAGTTTGACTTGTCAGCTTCAAATCTTTTATGATTACATCCTCTATTAGCCTTTTAGTAGAGAAAAGAGATAGTTACATAGTTACAGAGTTAGTCTGGCTGAAAAAAGACAAAAGTCCATACAGTTCAACCAAAAAAAAACCCAGTTATAATCCTATACCCACAGTTGATCCAGAGGGGAAAAAAACCCAACAAAGCATGATCCAATTTGCTCCTGCTGGGGAAAAAATTCCTTCCTGATCCCCCGAGAGGCAATCTGATATTCCCTGGATCAACTTTACCTATAAATGTTAGTATCCAGTTATATTCTGTGTATCTAAGAAAGATTCCAGGCCTTTTTTGAAGCAATCCACTGAGCTGGCCAGAACCAACTCTTGAGGGAGTCTGTTCCACATTTTCACAGCTCTCACTGTGAAGAAACCTTTCCATGTTTGGAGATTAAATTTCTTTTCCTCCAGACGTAAAGAAAGCCTCCTTTTCCTCTGTGATGACAAAGTCACACTTCATTCCATAATAATGGCAGTTGATGCTGTCACCCCCAAGCATCCTGCAGCCTAAGGCCTTGGATACACTTTTTGGATTAGGAGGACAAAGTATGGTAGCAGAGTTCATGCTGTATGCTGACTTTGAGAACAAACTCTAATTCCAGCCTGAAATTTGCTACAAAGTAATAACAACCCATTACACTATTGTTAATGTATTATTAAGTAGTGCATATCTCTGCAGTTGCTTCTTTTGATCTCTTTAAAATGTAAAACAAAATACAGTAGTTGGTTTCAAGCTTCATAGTTCATGTAAAGTGCTTATAATTTGTATAAGTTTATAGTAATGAAATAGTGAACTACAGTGGATTTATTTTTTTTGTATTTGGATATAGTATGTTGTCATCCCAGTGGCTAAATGGTTAGCACTTCCATCTCGCAATACTAGGATCATTGGTTTGAATC